TTACTTCGCACTCCAGACCCCACACTCAACACTTAACTCTCCACACATCACACTCCCCTCTCCACAATTCCCACTCCACATTTCAAACTCCACATTCCACACACCACACTTCACACTCAACAGTCCACACTCTACACTGCACACTTCACACTCCACACTTCACAATCTCCACGCTTTACACTCTCCACTCCACACTTCACACTCTCCACTCTCCACTCTCCACTCCACCCTTCACATTTCACACTCCACGCTCCATACACTCCACGCTTCACACTTCACACTGCACACCTGACACTGCACACTACACGCTCCGCACTTCACGCATTCACACCCCACACTTCGCACCCCACACTTCACACTTCACACCCCAAACACTCCAAATTCCACACTTTACACTTCACACTTCACACTCCACATTCTCCATTCCACAATTGACACTCCACACTCCACACTTCACACTTCACACTCAACACTCCACATTTCACACTCCACACTCCACACTTCACACTCTAGCACCACACTCCACACACCCCACACACTCCACACTTCAGACTTCACACTCCACACTTGGATTCCCCACACTTCATTCTTCGCACTTCACACTCCCCACCCCACACTTCACACTCCACACTTCGCAATCCATTTCGCACTTTGCACCCTCCACTCCACACTTCCCACATCACACTCCACACTCTCCCCTCCACACGCCACACTTCACAATTTACACTCCACACTCAACACTTCACACTCCACACTCCTCACTTCACACTCTAGCTCCACACTCCACACACTCCACACACTCCACACACTCCAGACACTTCAGACTTCACACTTCGCACTCCACTTCACACTTCACACTGCACACTCTCCACTCCACACTTCACACTCCGCACTCGACACTTCACACTTCACACTCCACACTCCACACTTTACACTTCACGCTTCACATTGCACACCTGACACCTGACACTACACACTACACGCTCCACACTTCACGCATTCAACCTCTACACTTCGCACTCTCCACTCCACACTTCACTTCACGGCTGACACTTCACACTGCACACCTGACACTCCACACTTCATACTTGTACTGCAAAGCTCTCGCCACACACCTTCCAGTACGGCTTTGTACTGCAGAGCTTGCGCAAAGTACTTCCCGATACTACTTTGTACTACCAAGCTGCAAGCTTGCACAACGCACTTCCCAAAGCTTGCACAAGGCACTTCCCAGTACCACTTTGTACTACAAAGCTTGCACCAAGTACCGCCCAGTATTACTTTGTACTACAATGCTTGCACAAAGCACTTTCCAGTACTACTTTGTACTACAAAGCTTGCACCAGAGCACCTCCGAGTACTACTTTGTACTACAAATCTTGCACAAGACACTTCCCAGTAGTACTTTGTATTACAAAGCTTGCACAAGGCACTTCCCAGTAGTACTTTGTACTACGAAGCTTGCCCAGGGTAATTCCCAGTACCACTTTGTACTACAAAGCTTGCAAAAAGTACTTCCCAGTATTACTCTGTACTACAAAGCTTGCACAAAGTACTTCCCAGTAGTACTTTGTACTACAAAGCTTGCACAAGGCACTTCCAAAGCTTGCACAAAGTATATACTTGCCAGTGCCACTTCAGGGCACTTCCCCGTACTACTTTGTACTACAAAGCTTGCACAAGGTACTTCCCAGTACTATTCCGTACTACGAAGCTTGCACAAAGTACTTCCCAGTACTACTTTGTACTACAAAGCTTGCACTGGGTAATTCCCAGTAGCACTTTGTACTACAAAGCTTGCACAAAGCACTTCCCAGTACTACTTTGTATTACAAAGCTTGCACAAGGCACTTCCGAGTACTTTGTACCACAAAGCTTGCACAGGGTAATTCCCAGTACCACTTTGTATGACAAAGCTTGCACAAAGTGCCCCCCAGTACTTCCCAGTACTACATTGCACTTCACTCTCCACACTTCACACTCCACACTTCACACTTCACACTCTCCATCCCACTCCGCACTTCACACTCCACACTCCAGACTTCACACTCCACACTTCACACTTCACACTCTCCACTCTCCACTCCACCCTTCACATTTCACACTCAACACTTCACGCTTCACACGTCACACTCCAAAAATCACACTTCACACTTCACACTCCACACTTCACACGTCACGCTCTCCACTTCACACTTCACACTCCACACTGCACACTTCGCACTGCACACTCTCCACTTCACACTTCACACTTCACACGCCACACTTCACAATGCACTCTCACATGACCTTTTCTCACTTTCCCCATAGACAGCGGCGACGACGCCATTAGAGACCAACAAACCAACTTTTGCTTCAGTGCCACAAAGCCCCACACCTGCCATGCGAAATGTTTTCACACGTCACAACACATCACCGCTTCTCGCTTTCCCCATAGAGAGCGGCGAAGACGCCATTAGAGACCCCCCAAAGCAACTTTCGCTTGAGTGCCGCAAAGTCCAACGCTTGGATTGGTTAGGCCCGTCAGTTTAACACATAAGATTTGATGAAACAACACAATATAGACACGTAGTATCATATATAATTAATAGGATACAGTCGTATCACTGTCCAGTGTCCGTTTGGTTACTGCCCTGACCCTTGCCAAAGTTTTTCACCTCTTTCTGTCGCGTAGGAACGGTTTGGTGGCGATGAGGAACAAGAAGTTCGAATACAAGATGTATTTTGGAGGCCCCAACAACGCGGGCACCAAATGGAACGGCTACGAGTCCTATTGGAACAACGGCACCACGGCTCTGGGTTCCTCGGTGGCCGCCAAGGGTATCTCTTTGAACTTGTTTGTTTAACGACTGTATTGCTACATCTTGCTATATTTATGGATGTTTGCTATATTTGTTTAATGGTGGAAACCTATAATCAAAGCTGTTGGCCGTGGGCTATTTTGGACTGTTCATTCACCGTGGTTGCAACGCCGTTGTTTTCTAGGCCCAGACGAAGCCTTGTACAACGTGGGGGGCGGACAATGGCATTACGAAATGGGCTTTTCGGACCCCTACTTTGGCAGCACGCAAGCCATGGTCAGCGCCTACTACGCGCAGCTGGGGAAGAATCCCACCTACGATGGAGCTGCTTGTATGGCGGCCGGCAGCATGGCTGATCATGTGGTCGAAGGGTCCCAGTGTCATGGTCCGTTGCCTGTTCCTGATGTACTTTCGGCATGTAGAGATTTGAAAGCGGTCAATGACTTCGAAAAACTTTTTCCTATAGAATAACTTGGACATGTGTGCGACACCCCGCCCCGAATGATCCGAACACCGAAGTTGGGTTGCATTTTTCATGGATAGTCTAAATCGAAGGTCCGCTTGCAAAAGCCAAATCAGATAGTTAAACTGATGCCTCAAGCGCCTCAAGGACACACGAGGATCCATATCGAAGCGTCCAGCTTTGCAGCGGTATAGATCAGGATATAACTACAGAGCAGTAGAAAGACGTTTGATGACGTTTTGGATGGGATTGGGGCCAAACGCCTGCATCATTTCTTTGTTTGAGGCAAGTTCACCCCACAACTGGAATGGCGCCTATTCCCCTATGGATGGCACCTATATCACCTTAGTTCACCCCCCAGTGACATTGCCCCTAAGTACAGGGCCCGAACTACCTGGGGTTAACTAACCAACGATTCCGCGGCCGGAAAGCTCACCATTTCGGCCGATGCCACTGAGTATACACTGCTGATGATTGATCTATGTTAATGTCCCTTTGTGATGGGGATTTCCCCCAGCCATGTTTGATTACCCCACATGGCTTGTAGATCCCCTTGTACGATATTATACGCGCGCGCTATATTCTCATGATTTTTTTTTCAATCCCCATTTTCAGTTGGTTCATAACCCATATCAGTTTGTTCATATCACTATATTCCCACTTTACCCACAATTAACATCATTAAATCACCATTATGATAAGTGATTTGCTATGTCCCCAGTAAAATCCCATGAGATCCCCATTGCACCACCAGTAGATCATCCATTAGATCTCCATTGTTCATGCTTGAATCTCATGAAACTGGAAATCCCATCAAATCACGCATATATATATACACACATATTGCATGTGTATAGAGTTTAAGATTGGTATATAATTGTACGGAATGGATCCAGACACTGTCTGAGAAGGTACTTAACCCTCTAAATCATACCCAACATATTTCCTAAGAAGGTATTCGGACCCATGGGGAGATATATATATATAATATATATATGTATATTATATATATATATGTATATATTATATATATGTATTATCTTATATATAACATTTATTATATTATATATATATATCTTATATATATATATATCTATCTCATATATATATATATTATTTTAATTTTATATGCGTTTTTAATATTCCCATATATCTCCCAACATTTCCCAATTGAGCAGCGTCAAAAACCTCCAAGCAAGAAAGTTAATTGGGGATTAAACTAAGTTGGGCCCGCGGAAGTGAAACCCACGTCCGCGGAAGCGCGCGGAAGGGCCGCGGAAGACGATTTGAGTACCGTATTAGATTTATATACATATATGTATATTTACATATATACGTATACATATACATACATTTGCACAAACAAACCAAACATCACCCACTATTCTCCACAATCAAAGTCAATCAATGTCCATCAATGCTAAATCAATTTGTAGATTTCATGAGGAGCTGGCTTTCGCGGAAGCTCCGCGGAAGCAGAATCAACTTACCAACCATCCGCGGAAGCTGAAACTGTGGTGGCGGAAGCAGCGCGGAAGACCGCGCGGAAGACAAGTAAGATTATAAGAGAATTACATAGGGGTTTTCGCCACCGCTCAATTCCTCAGGTATCGCCGTGAGCTTCGGGCTGCAGAAGTACGGCCAATCCTTACTGGGGATGACCGTGGCGCAGCGCCGCGAGGAGATTCGGATCTCAGTGGGCACCTTGAACGACGAGACGCTCTACGGCATGGTGCGTGCCTGGGACGGGACGGCTGGGAGATCACTGGAGATATGATGGGATGATGGGGGGGGAGAGAGAGAGAGAGAGATAGATAGATCGATAGATAGATAGACAGATAGATAGATAGATAGATATGTATATATATATATTACGAAAGCCAGCCGCTAAATATATATATATATATATATGTGTATTACAAAGTAAGGGGTCTGGGAACGTATACGGGTGAAAAACCTGTGGGTGAAAAATGTGACAAGGCTGTGCGTGAAAAAGTCAGTGGGTGAAAAGTCTCTGGGCGAAAAGTGTGTGGGTGAAAAGTGCGCGGGCGACAAGTCCGTCGATCAAAAGTATATGAGTGAAACGGGTATGGGTGAAAAGTCTGAGTTTGCAAAGTCTGTGGGTGAAAAGTCTGTGTGCGGGTGAAAGTCTGTAGGTGAAAAGTATATGCTGGCCGTTCCTTTCGGACATTTTTTATTTTTTCCATTTTTTCCAGGGTCGCCCGCCTTCCGCCTTTTGATCATTTGATCTCAACCAGTTCCCTTGGCCGCCACATGATGAGAGACTTGGAGGACTGACTGGAGTGACTGATTGGGGTTCAGGGCATGACTTTAGTTTCTCTTCGGGTGATGATCTGTCTTTTTTATCCCTTTTTTTCTAGGTGCATTCCCTTGACCTTGGAGAACACGTGAATCCAGAAATAATAAATCATGTGGATCTGCGAGCGAATGGTGTTGCACCATGATAGTCATGAGTGCTATGACACTGGGCCTGAGCGGTCCCCAGGAAATCCATGGCCGACCGTTTCATGCCCCAACCTCAGATGATGGTTTTTAGCTGTACCCAGGGAAATCTTTATCAAGTGAATCTCCTACAGGAGAATTGAGATGAATTGAGCATCTCAGGCTTCACCATGGCCGACTGTTTCATGCCCCAACCTCAGATGATGGTTTTTAGCTGTACCCAGGGAAATCTTTATCAAGTGAATCTCCTACAGGAGAATTGAGATGAATTGAGCATCTCAGGCTTCACCATGGCCGACTGTTTGATTTCCCAACCTCAGATAAAGGGTTTTAGCTGTACCCAGGGAAATCTTTATCAAGTGAATCTCCTACAGGAGAATTGAGATGAATTGAGCATCTAAGGCTTCACCATGGCCGACTGTTTGATTTCCCAACCTCAGATGATGGGTTTTAGCTGTACCCAGGGAAATCTTTATCAAGTGAATCTCCTACAGGAGAATTGAGATGAATTGAGCATCTCAGGCTTCACCATGGCCGACTGTTTGATTTCCCAACCTCAGATGATGGTTTTTAGCTGTACCCAGAGAGACTGTTTCATGCCCCAACCTCAGATGATGGTTATTAGCTGTACCCAGAGAAATCTTTATCAAGTGAATCTCCTACAGGAGAATTGAGATGAATTGAGCATCTCAGGCTTCACCATGGCCGACTGTTTGATTTCCCAACCTCAGATGATGGGTTTTAGCTGTACCCAGGGAAATCTTTATCAAGTGAATCTCCTACAGGAGAATTGAGATGAATTGAGCATCTCAGGCTTCACCATGGCCGACTGTTTGATTTCCCAACCTCAGATGATGGGTTTTAGCTGTACCCAGGGAAATCTTTATCAAGTGAATCTCTTACAGGAGAATTGAGATGAATTGAGCATCTCAGGCTTCACCATGGCCGACTGTTTGATTTCCCAACCTCAGATGATGGTTTTTAGCTGTACCCAGAGAGACTGTTTCATGCCCCAACCTCAGATGATGGTTATTAGCTGTACCCAGAGAAATCTTTATCAAGTGAATCTCCTACAGGAGAATTGAGATGAATTGAGCATCTCAGGCTTCACCATGGCCGACTGTTTCATGCCCCAACCTCAGATGATGGTTTTTAGCTGTACCCAGGGAAATCTTTATCAAGTGAATCTCCTACAGGAGAATTGAGATGAATTGAGCACCTCAGGCTTCACCATGGCCGACTGTTTGATTTCCCAACCTCAGATGATGGGTTTTAGCTGTACCCAGGGAAATCTTTATCAAGTGAATCTCCTACAGGAGAATTGAGATGAATTGAGCATCTAAGGCTTCACCATGGCCGACTGTTTGATTTCCCAACCTCAGATGATGGGTTTTAGCTGTACCCAGGGAAATCTTTATCAAGTGAATCTCCTACAGGAGAATTGAGATGAATTGAGCATCTCAGGCTTCACCATGGCCGACTGTTTGATTTCCCAACCTCAGATGATGGGTTTTAGCTGTACCCAGGGAAATCTTTATCAAGTGAATCTCCTACAGGGGAATTAAGATGAATTGAGCATCTCGTGGTTCACTTGCCCAACCCCAGGTGGCATGTTTTGCGTGTCCAGAAGGTGCCCGGCTGTGCCTGAATGTGCAAAAAAAAGTAGGGTGGACATGTTTAGCAAAGAGAGGGGGATTTCCAAGTTCGTGAGCTATTAGGACCACCAAGTGTCGATTCAGACCTACTTGAAAAAATGCATATTTTTATATAGCGGATGGTTAGGAAGGATGAAGTGCGGGGTTAGGACTTTTGGTGTCCGTGGTTATATAGATCATCTGGATTTTGGTGCGGGGTTATGGTTGTGAAAGTGGGCAAATTGTTGGGTTGTCCTTTTTGGTAGCAGGACCTCTCTTTTTGGTGGGGTGCTTCTGGGTTCTCGTTCCTAAGCTTCAGAATGGCCGCAAAAACATGTCAACCACTCTCCCTTGTTCTGGAACCTTGATTGCATATCTAAGTCTGGTAACTTTAATGTCCAATGAGAACCCAAATGCATTGTATCCCAAAACTGTTTTGATGAGGCTATTGACTGAGACTAGGTTCAGAAGGGTGGTGATTTTGGACGAATGATTTTCATCGGAGTTGCCCATTCACACACCCAGGACTTGCCCAGCGCATGCAGGCTTGGTGATGTGATCAGAAGTCAGAGCACGCTACCCAGATCACCCTTGCGGCATAAGGGCAAGGCGGCCAGTGCTAAGGGGGTATCAGGCCGTGTTGAAGAAGGACAAGGAAAAGATTCGCCAGTGAAAACAGGAAATCCAAAAAAGAAACCATGAATTACTTTACTTCGTGTGATCCCCACCATGACATGTCAAGACGTATTTGGACATATACTTTATATATTCTACAATCAATCTGGCATATATTCTGACATTCTATCTGGCATTCTATTTGGAATATATTCTGGCATTCTATCTGGCATACATTCTCGCAATCTATCTGACATATATTCTGACAGTCTATCTGGCATTCTATCTGGCATTCTGTCTGACATATATTCTGGCATTCTATCTGCCATTCAATCTGGCATATATTCTGACATTCTACCTGGCATTCTATCTGGCAGTCTATCTGGCATTCTATCTGGCATATATTCTGACATTTTATCTGGCATTCTATTTGGCATTCTGCCTGACATATATTCTGACATATATTCTGACATTCTTTCTGGCATTCTATCTGACATATATTCTGACATTCTATCTGACATATTCTGACATTCTATCTGGCATTCTATCTGGCATTCTATTTGACATTCTATCTGACATATATTCTGGCATTCTATCTGGCAATCTATCTGGCATTCTTTCTGGCATTCTATCTGGAATGTACACAGGTTGAAGTCCGGCAGTGCCCACTGCAATCTGGAGCTCGCAACTGACGTCCGGCAGTGCCCACTGCGATCTGGGGCTCGCGGTTGCAGCCCGGCAGTGCCCACTGGGATCTGGAAGTCGCTGCTGAAGCCCGGCAGTGCCCACTGGGATCTGGCGCTCGCGGCTGAAGTCCGGCAGTGCCCACTGGGATCTGGACGTCGCTGCTGAAGCCCGGCAGTGCCCACTGGGATCGGAGCTCGCGGTTGAAGTCCGGCAGTGCCCACTGCGATCTGGAGCTGGCAGATGAAGTCCGGCAGTGCCCACTGCGATCTGGAGCTGGCAGATGAAGTCCGGCAGTGCCCACTGCAATCTGGAGTTTGGTGAGGAGGCGGAGGAGGAGACGGCGGAGGCGGAGGCGGCGGAGGCGGCGGAGGCGGCGGGCGTGGCGGAAGCGGCGGGCGATGCATCTCTGATAAAATCTAGTAACCCTCACCTGGCAGGTGGGGAAAAAAATAATCCAGTGCTCCATGGGCCGGTGAATTGGCTTGAGCATTCTTGTGACACCATGTCATCATTTGATTACGTCAACGCGGGCTTTAGCAATCTTGAGCTGTCCCTTGCATTAGATGATGGCTGTTGTCGTGTCCAAGAAGCGTTAGGCATTGGATGCACCCCAGGATTAGAAGACTATCAGTCCAACCGACTTGCCCAGTGTGAGAAAGTTTATGCCCAGTGATAGGGAGGAATGTGGGCATGTATGTGCATGTGTAGGTTTGACAAGCCCTTGCCCGTGATGGTTTCAATCATTCATAGTCACTTCTTCAATGAAGCTAGCCAGCGGGGACTTGACTGAGTTATCATAAATTGCTAGCGTTTCCTCCGCTTTGCTGAGGCTTTGATTCGTCCTTCGCCGCTTGCTTCTTCACTTGGTTAGTTAGGCCCTCAGAAGGATGACTGGAAGTGAAATGTCCATGGCTTGGACCATCAGACCGGCAGCGGTTTTATTCTTCAATGCTCCCCGAGTCAGGGTGTGGCCGGCTCCTTCACAGGTCAGTTGCTTAGGCAGAATTTAAGCTGAGAATCCATCCAAGTCAGTCATCCATGGAAATGTGTCGTTCAGCTATGGGCTTGATTTTGGCGGAAGCGGTTTGCCATCATTGTCAAGCTCTTTCATTTTTCATTGTCGTGTGATTGTTAATTCCTGGTGCTTTAGGTGTCCAGTGCTGACAACATGGTACTGGAGATACGAAGGCGCCAGTGCTTCTTGCAATTTGGGTTGAGTCAGAGTGTTTGAATCGTTTTTGAAGTGTGAAGTTTGCATCCCTTGTCATGGCAATGGGGGTTTCAAGCAGAAGCCTGCTTTCAATGCGTTGATGCTGGCCTTGCTGCAGCCGCATTTT